AGATAAGAAAAATAACAACAAAAACCACATACATTTTTTAATGTATAGTTCTATTGTAGATTACATATGCTAGCACGTATAACGTAACTAATATGATTAGCAAGAACTATGATTCAATTCTCTTTGAATTTTCAATAAATCATCAACATTCAATTACTAGAATTTAAACAACGAAATATGGAGCATAAAGGTATCAAAATGGGTGATTCAAATAGGTTTGGACAACCTATAATTGGGTAATAGTTATAACGGGATCAATCCATTTATATTTATTTAATAAGTGGGAATAGTTATACCCAATTAACCTATTTGTGAGTAACTTAAAATTCTACTTTTTTTTTATTTTTAGTATATCATTTGACAAGAAATAAAGATTTTATTGTTATTAGATTAGTAAAAAATTCTCAAATTTATTTGCTTAACACTCACTACAAGTTGAGTTTAAATATGTAATTATTTTTTAAATGGGCATAAATTGGTAAGTTGAGTCAACCCACTACCCACCAATTAAATGGGTTTAATTGGGTGTCCATTTAAAAATAATTATATATATTTAAACTCAATTTTTAGTGAGTCTTAAGAAGATCAATTTGAATTTCCTATCAATCTAAAAATAATAAAATGTCATTATTTCTTGTTAAACAACATGCAAAAAAAAATTTAAAAAGAATAAAATTTCAAATGTGTCATAAATAAATAATTGGGTATAAATGAGTTGATTCATTTTGACCCATTTATTAAATGGGTATAAATAGGTTGATCCAATTATATCCATTACTCAATTATAACTTGTCCAAACATGTCTAAATCAGTCATTTTGGCACATCTAAATTTTAGTTCCTAAACTTGTATGGGTGATAAGTCACAATTTTATCATTTATTTTAGAATTAATTTTTCCTATTACCTTATCAAATGTGAATTAATTATCAGATTCTACTCATTTTTTACATTTGTGCTTATTACAGAAAGTTAGAGCAAAATATGATCAAAAGTTACGAATATCGTACTGCAAATATTACTTGGCGTGGTCGCGTCAACCCAGATCTTAACATGTCCAGAAGGAAAGATGCGCAACACCGACTCTCATTTGGAAGTGAAACGAAAGGAGTCAAATTGGGATTAAGACTCCTATCTTTTTGGTAGCTTTCGGAGAGCCAGCCGCCGAGGAAGTCAATGGAGATTAGCAGTCTTCCTTTTACTCCTTATTGGTAGCCGAATAGGAAGTAAAGAGTATATCGGATTTTAGTCAGGAAAAGAGCCGTCAATTTTGACCCCTTTTTGGCTCTGGACAATTTGGTCTTTTTGGTGGCCTTTAATGGTTGTTTTGTTAATTGAATATCGTGGCCCGGACATTGAATTAATTTAGTAACCTAATATCAATTGGAGCGCTAAATTCGTAATTGTTTCATTGCTCCAAAATAGTGATAATTAGCATAATTAGATTTGTATTAGGGGAATACACAGACTAATCTAAAATAATCCTGGTAGTGTGTTATTTGGTTAGAATAGAACTCCTCTAATATGTAAGGTAATTGGGAAATTAAATCTTACGGACGTACCTAGAATTATTTCTCGATTAGAGTAGTGATTGACGGGCGTACCTCAGTCATCGACACAGTAAGAAGGAGTTGACTGCCATCGCTTATTTGGCAGTTATAACTTATTTATTAGTTAATAATTGGAATTATCTATGCATCGATGAGCAATTAGTTGAACCATTGCCGAAGTTATTTCTTGGCTAAAGCTTAGTTATTATTAATTTGGTCTTAATAATTTATCATTTAATTTTTAGTTGGCTATTTATTTTTATTCGAACAGTTTAATTATTACCATTGCTATAAAAAAAAAAAAACCCATTGTTAGTTTGAATTTTAAAAGAGACAAATATCCCTAGTCCCTGTGGATTCGATCATACTTGTCAATATCTACAGAAATTATACGTTGTTTGAGCAGGTATTTATTATTGCACAGGCTCGACACCTGTCAATGGATTCGAACAAAAATTCATTATTATTAACTAGTTTATCATCGTCATAGTGATTATGGTTGATGAATTTTTATCAAACAACTTGTAAGCAATTGTTTCTTATTCACGCTAATTATTTTGCCAAGAAAGTTACAAGGTATTCATCGGAGCAAGTTCATCAATGCTGTACAAAAAATTTTCCAAATTCTAGATGAGCAGTCTCGGACGTATTCTTTCCTCAAATTTTCTGATGGCAGCAACCTATTTACATTTTAACATTTTCCTCTTCTAATTTTGCAAAGGAAACAAATGGACCTCTGTGGCCTGGATCTTTTCCTGAATCACTATCCAACACCAACAATCTCAATAGAGCCCTATTTTAGACCTCTATCCAAATAGGGTCAATTTTTCCTAATTCTAATTAATGAATGAATTTTGAAAAAAAAAATCCATGAATGAGTACCCCAAAACCAATTCTTGTGACTAAATTCTTTAGTATACGAGTACTCTGCCACAATTTTTGTAATCTTTTATGACACAAGCTCCTCTATCACAAATTTTGCAAACCTTTCAGACACCCTAGAATCAAGCTCTTGAATCTAGAGTTTTGATATCACTTGTTAGCATACAAAAATCACGCAATGAAAGATATTAAAAACTTCGAAAATGGCTTCACAAGCCAATAAACAAGAAGGAAGCTGCAAATACAGAAAGATGATAAACAACGTACTAATACTTGTCCAAGAGCAGATAGATGATAAACAATGTACGAATACAACTTAACTCAATTTTCTAAATCAACTTTAACACCAATTCTAATCTAATTACCAAATAAAAAGTATACCTCTAAAACTACTAAATTTCTAAATATGGTTTTTTTTTTTGTTAACAAGAGAGAATGGTTTTCACCCCTAAATCAAAGGGGTGTACTACTATACACCCATAAAATATTTTACTGCAGATGCAGAAGTTTGAACCCTTGATCTGCAGTCAAATAATAAAACACCAAGATAAACCTAGCAATAAACACCCAAGGGTAGTCTATATCGACTCCCAATAAACACAAATTCTCTTCGAAAATACTACACCGCCTATTTTGAACATCATAGACTTATATAGTAGATCAAAAACACCCAACGCATTACATTATCTAATGAAACAAGTAGTTGTTAAATAATGGAATTTCAGAAACATGACGTCAATAAAGCTACAAAAAAACTAAATAAGAATCTTTTACACCTTGTTGCTAACAAAGCAATTCTGTTGAGAACAATCCCAACATATATACTACAGTACATGGTTTCATTAGGATCACATAGTCTCTTAAGTCATGGACACTAGTTTCCTTCATCCTTGATGCTGCAAATGTATGATAAAAATTTTATCTCTCTCCATGCCTTGAAAGAAATTTGAGTTTGATCTTCTTCAGTGAGTTTGAAACATGTTCCATACATAGTCTCTCAACAGGAGATTCGGCAGCACAAGTTAAGGCCACTTCCATGATTGATGATAAACACTCCAACTTTACGGTGAAATGCTCATCATGTGGCTCAAACAGGTTGGCATCTACGACCTGAAAAATTGCATAAGGCATAGAACCACTTATCCAACTCTTCAAGCTCAAATTTCCAACTAACATATCATCACTTGGCCTTCTTCTTGTAAACACTTCCATCAACATAATTCCGAAGCTATAAACATCACATTTTGTTGATACCAGTCCTCCAAATCCGTACTCTAAAACCAAGATCAAACACCATAAAAACAAGGATAGAGAAACAAATTTATACCCAAAAAAAAAACACATCACACACACAGTTTAGTAAGTAGAAATCATCACCTGGTGCAATATAACCAATTGTAGCTAAGGTATTGGTTAGTGTACTAGTTTCCTCCTTTGCCAACATTTTAGTAACACCAAAATCACTTACATAGGCAACCAAATCTTCGAAATGGAGCCAGTGAATTGGTTAGTTGCAAGAGATAAAAATGTCAATTTAGAGGAATTTGTGATAGACTCTGGTATAACTCCACCAAGGCTATTTGCATCTAGAATTATTGCATCTAAATTAGGCAGTGCGGATCCTATATCCAATGGAAGATTGCCAGTAAAAAAATTGAATCCGAGTTTAATAGTCCTCAGTGTTGTGATGTTGAAGATCCCAATAGGTATGGAGCCATTCAAGCTATTATACGTCAGGTGAAGTTGCTCGAGTTGGTGGAGATTGCCTATCTCTTCCGGTATTCTACCTAACAAATTAATTGGTTGGAGAAATATTAAAATAGATTGCGAGGCTTGATCTAGAAATCAACCATGAATGAGAGGAAGTGTTACATAGATATTCTAATTGAATAACATGGTCCTTTTGGTACATAGCATACAATTGATCATGCTTCTCTTTGTTTGGTACAGGTGATTAAAAACTTCCAAGTACACTCAATTAGGAAAGTAGCTATACCTGTCAAGGAATTGTTTCTGATGTAGAGATCCTTAACCATCGTCAAATTCCCAATTTGTCTTGGTATATTTCCACTGAATCGGTTTTTTTCCAAATAGAGCCCGTTTAGATTATGAAGATTATGTTATGGTCTGGAATCAGTCCAATTGGTCATGCACAAATGACTGAGGTGAGTCAGCAAGGGAGAGCACCAGAAATGCATTAGCAAGAAGAGAGTCACGTGGCCTAGCAATTGTTATAACAGAATGAAGAGTAGTTATTTGGCGGGAAAAGTAGTTAGTTAGTAGCAGGCTGCTTCGTAAGCTCAAAGCTATGATTTGTATAAATAATCCATCTGCATTGGCAGAGAGGGCAGGTTATACGTTGTTCCAAATATTTCTCTCTCAATCAATTCAATCCCTTCTTTTCCCTCTCTATTCCTTTCCCCCAATTTCTGATTTCACTCTCCCTTCCCCTTTCCCTTTTCCCTCCCCCTTCCTACCTCAGTTACTCTCCAATTCATTTAGCTCGATTCATAACAGTGGTATCAGAGCTTGCGATCCTTGGATTGTGAGCTCCAATTCACTGACAAAAAATGGCTGAAGGTACTCGAATGAAAAGCTTTGAGGAGCAACTCAGGAAACAAGATGTCAGAATCCAAGCAGTCCTTGACTCCATGGTTGCAGACAAACAAGTCATGGAAGAGCGACTGGAGACGAATCAAAGAGAGCTGCGAGCTTTAATGGAGGCCAATAATACAGAACTGAAAAACCTTGTGAGTAATCAAATTAGCTCAATTTTGAGGAGTTTGCAAGGTGATAAGGGAATCTTGGGAAATCCTACTGGTTCTGCAGATCGAACTCCTAATCATCGAGTTACTGGAGCACAAAATGTCAGGCATGGTGAATTTGGCAGTTCATCTTGCAGAGAAGGTCAGCATTGGCCCATGGGGGTTCCCAGGTTGGACTTTCCCAGATTTGATGGCCATAGTCCTAAGGAATGGATCAGGAAGTGTGAAAAGTTCTTCCAACTGTTTCGCACTCCTGAAGAACAGCAGATTGACTTGGTGGAACTACACTTAGAAGGCAAAGCAGATCTCTGGTATCAGAATTTCAAAAAGGATCGAGGAATAGTTCATTGGAAGGATTTCAGCTTGGAAGTATGTAGGAGGTTCAGCACGGTGGGGGAAGCAGATGCGGTTGAGGAGTTCAGCAAACTCTGCCAATCATCCACTGTGTTGGCTTATCAGGAGAAGTTTGAAGAGCTGAGGTCTATTGTAATGATCCAAGTGCCAGAACTAACTGAATCCTACTACATTGCTAGTTTCCTAAGTGGATTGAGGGGGGAAATTAAGTCTGCGGTGAAGATGCATAGGCCTGACACTCTACAAGCTGCCTTTGAGATGGCCAGATGGCAGGAGCACCATTTGGAGCTTGTTCACAAGTTCAGCAGGACCACACTCAAGAGCACACTACCCTCAGGCTCCTATGGTCTTACCAGGGGAACGCAGGGAGTCCAGGACCTAGGAGCAAGGCAGGCGAATACTGCGCCAACAGATTACAGCAGAAAGTCCAATTCACAGCAAGTTTTCAGGAAGATTTCTCCTACTGAATTCCAATACAGGAAGGAGCACAACCTCTGCTTTAGGTGTGGAGACAAATTTACTCCTGGACACACTTGTAAGAACAAGGGGATCCACATGATGTTAATAGATGAGGAGGAAAAAGGTGTGGCAGAACAAACAACAGAAGAAGAGGAAGTCATTGAGTACATGGGGAACCAGCAGGAACAGGATGTGATGTTGACCCTGCATGCAATGACAGGGGAATTATCTTCTAGTGTCATCAAAATGCAGGGGCAGTACAAGAATAGACAGCTGACAATCTTACTGGATGGAGGAAGTACCAATTGTTTCATCAGGAGATCAGTGGCTCAGTTGTACCCAGAAACTGTGCAGAAGCATAGGCCTTTTAAGGTCAAGATTGCTGATGGCAAAGAATTGCATTGTGACCAGTGGATTCCAGGAATGCAGTGGGGCATGCAGGGCCATGTATTTACACATGATGTGTTTGTCCTGGACTTGGAACCTTATGATATGATTCTTGGGGTGGATTGGATGAAATCCTACAGCCCCATTACCTTTGATTTCAAGAGATTGAACCTGTCTTTTGAGAAGGGAGGAGAGCAAGTGATATTGAAAGGAGATTCCAACAATGCAAACGTTAGAATGCAGCAAGGATCAACAGCTCATAAATATGTCAGACACAAGATCAGGAAGGCTCTGCAGCAATCTTGCATGGTGAAGGTTCACAACTCACAGGTAATTTCTGAACCAGATTCTCTTACTCAGTTGTTGGCCAAGTATGAGGATGTCTTTGCAGAACCTAAAACTCTTCCCCCAAACAGATGCCATGATCACCAAATTCCCCTTAAACCTGATGCCAGACCTTTCAAAATTTCCCCATATAGGTACCCCCATGTACAGAAAAATGAAATTGACCAGCAAGTGAAGGACATGTTAACCTCTGGACTTATACAAATTAGCCACAGTCCATTTGCATCACCTGCTCTCTTGGTTAAGAAGAAAGATGGGAGCTGGAGGCTTTGTATTGATTATAGACAATTGAACAATCTTACCATCAAAGATAAATTCCCAATCCCTATTATTGATGACTTACTGGATGAGTTACATGGAGCCAAGGTCTTCTCTAAAATTGATCTGAGATCAGGCTACCACCAAATTAGAATGAGACCTGAGGATATCCATAAAACTGCTTTTAGAACTCATTCTGGACTCTATGAATTCCTTGTAATGCCATTTGGCCTGACAAATGCTCCCGCCACCTTTCAAGCACTAATGAACTCAGTTTTTGAACCTTACATCAGAAAATTTGTCCTTGTGTTCTTTGATGACATTCTGATCTATAGTCCAGATTATAAAACCCACCTACACCACTTATCCTTAGTACTAGGAACCTTGAGAAAACACTCCTTGTATGCAAAGATGTCTAAATGTTCTTTTGGTCAAAACCAAGTGGAGTATCTGGGACATGTTATTACTAGTGAGGGTGTGAATACAGACCCATCCAAGGTAGAGGCTATGCTATCCTGGCCAACTCCTACTTGTTTGAAGGCCCTCAGAGGATTTCTGGGCCTAACAGGGTATTACAGGAGGTTTGTTAAGGGGTATGGAGAAATTGCTAAGCCCCTCACTGAGTTACTGAAGAAGGATCAATTTGCTTGGAGTGCTGTTGCAGAATCTGCATTTCAACAGTTGAAGGAGGCCATGAGTAAATCTCCAGTATTAGCATTACCTGACTTCTCAAAACCATTCCAATTGGAAACTGATGCTAGTCAGTTAGCTATTGGGGCTGTTCTGATGCAGCAAGGGAGACCTATAGCTTACTACAGTCAAGTGTTGGGCCAGAAGAATCAGACCAGATCCACCTATGAAAAAGAACTCCTCTCACTCATCACAGCAGTTCAAAAATGGAAACATTACTTGATGGGGAACCACTTTGTTATAAAGACTGACCATGAGAGCCTCAAATACTTGCTGGATCAGAAAATTAACACTCCCCTTCAACAGAAGTGGCTGGTTAAACTTTTGGGGATGGATTATGAGATCCAGTATAAGAGGGGTAAGGACAATGTGGTTGCTGATGCATTATCAAGGAGGGAAGAGCAGGAAGAGTCAGCAGAGACGTTTGTTCATGCCATCACTACCATCAAGCCTCAATGGTTGTCAATGGTAGCTGAGAGCTACAATGGTGATGACACGGCAAAGGAGGTCCTACTGAGGTTGGCCATGGGAGCTGAAGCACTTCCTGACTACTCTTATAACCAAGGGATTTTGAGATTTAAAGGAAGGATCTGGGTAGGGGCAAATGTTGGACTAAGGCAAAAACTGATTGCTTGTTTTCATGATTCTTGTCTTGGAGGTCACTCAGGGAATCATGGTACGTATCAGAGGATCAAAAGCTACCTGTACTGGCCTGGAATGAAAAAGGAGGTCGAGCAGTATGTACAAAATTGTGATGTCTGCAAGAGAAGTAAAAATGAGAATTGTGCCTATCCAGGTCTGTTGCAGCCATTGGCCATTCCTGAGCAAGCCTGGCAACAAATTTCCATGGATTTCATAGAAGGTTTGCCTAAATCTTTGGCTGTAATGTCATCTATGTGGTGGTAGACCGACTTACTAAATATGCTCATTTCATCCCTATGACTTCTCATTATACTGCTAAAAGTGTAGCAGAGACATTCTTTGATCAGATTTTCAGGTTACATGGCCTTCCAACACACATTGTCTCTGACAGAGATAAAGCCTTTACTAGCTTGTTCTGGCAGGAACTCTTCAAGATGCTAGGCACAGAGCTAAATCTCTCTTCTGCATATCATCCTCAGTCGGATGGACAGACTGAGAGGGTTAATAGATGTGTAGAAAGCTACCTGAGGAGTGTGTGTATGTATCAACCAGGGAAGTGGAGGAAATGGCTTCCTGCAGCAGAATGGTGGTATAACACTAACCACCATAGCAGTCTACAAATGTCTCCTTTCCAGGCATTATATGGTTACAAACCTATACAACTGAACCTAAGGCCTGATCAAACAATAGTAGCTGCTGTGGAGGACTGGGCACAGGAAAGAGTAGGCTGGAATTCCTTGCTTAAAGAGAACTTGTTTAAAGCTCAGAACAGAATGAAGCAAATGGCTGATAAAGGGAGGAGTGATAGGGAGTTTATAGTGGGAGAGTGGGCTTATTTGAAGCTCCAACCTTACAGACAAACCTCAGTAGCCGTAAGAAGGAATTTGAAGCTGACTGCTAAATACTACGGGCCCTATCAGGTGGAACAAAAGGTGGGAACTGTAGCATACAAGCTGAAGCTACCTGCAGGATCCACTATACACCCTGTTTTTCATGTTTCATTGCTCAAGAAGTCACCAAAGGAGGCTCCAGTCAACACAACCTTGCCTACCCTGAACGCAGATAGGGAGTTTGAGGTCACCCCCTCAGCAGTGCTGGACAGAAGGACAATCTATAGGAAGGGTCAAGGAGTTGAGCAAGTATTGGTGCAGTGGGAAAACATGGAACCTGAGGAAGCCACTTGGGAGGATTGGACGTTCATTCATGCTCAATTTCCTTCTTTCCAAATCAATCAATCCTAGAGACTAGGATTGTTTTTAGGGGAAGGTATTGTTATGGCCTGGAATCAGTCCAATTGGTCATGCACAAATGACTGAGGTGAGTCAGCAAGGGAGAGCACCAGAAATGCATTAGCAAGAAGAGAGTCACGTGGCCTAGCAATTGTTATAACAGAATGAAGAGTAGTTATTTGGCGGGAAAAGTAGTTAGTTAGTAGCAGGCTGCTTCGTAAGCTCAAAGCTATGATTTGTATAAATAATCCATCTGCATTGGCAGAGAGGGCAGGTTATACGTTGTTCCAAATATTTCTCTCTCAATCAATTCAATCCCTTCTTTTCCCTCTCTATTCCTTTCCCCCAATTTCTGATTTCACTCTCCCTTCCCCTTTCCCTTTTCCCTCCCCCTTCCTACCTCAGTTACTCTCCAATTCATTTAGCTCGATTCATAACAGATTACCGATCTCTCTAGGAATTAAACCTGCCAAATGACACCAGAAAATAATTATGAATAGCGGATAGTCGGAGAAAGTTGAGAAAACTAGAAAAGATACTTCTTGGAAAAAAAACTATTTTTAATCTCGGTCTTCAGGTGGCCAAAAAGTAAGCACATTTGCCAGTGGAATCAGGAATGTTTAGGAAAAGTTGTTTCTGGGGAATAATGGTAGCTAAATAGGATACCTGTTATCTGGTTTTCCTTAAGCTGGAGAAACTTCAAATTACGCAGATTGCCAATCTCCCTTGGAATTATACCTAACAATTCCGCAGGAGTTCATTATACTAATAACTGAAGAAATCTTCCTTGAAATGGTTAAGTAAAAAAAAAAAACAATGATTGGTAGTAAATGCTTTGTTTACTTTTACATGCGTAAGAAAATCAGAACATCAAGTTACCTATTAAATTATTAGTGCCAAGGTACAAGCCCTCAAGCTCGTTTATTTTCCCAATTTCTCCAGGTACGTGCCCACTGAATTTGTTGGATGACAAGTTTAGTAATCGAAGTTCCAAACATCCAGATAAACTTGATGGTATATGGCCAACTAACTCATTCCCAGAAAGACACAACTTTTTGAGAATGGAGATATTCCCAATCTGTTCCGGAATAGTCCCTTCCAGGAAATTAGAGGACAGATCCAGGGTTTCTAAATGCGACAAGTTGGAGATGGAAGAAGGAATAAAACCGCTAAAACTATTGCAAGCCAGAATCAAGGTTTGGAGCCGTGGTAAGTGACCAAACCACATGGGAACGTCTCCAATGAAGTTGTTGAACTTAGATTAGCAAACCTCAGTCGCTGTAAACGGGACAACTCTCGAGGCAGATTGCTTTGGAAATAGTTGCTTCTGATGTCGAGAAAAACAAGAAATGGCAGATTTCCCAGCTGGGGAGGATCCGTGCCAGTAAAACCCATGTTCGAAATGTTCAAGGCGGCCACTCTTTGGTGTAGTGGAGAGCCACACTTGACTCCAATCCAGTCACAAACATGTGTTGCATCGGCAGACCAATTCTTTGACAAGTATTGGTGTGGGTCTGAAGTGATATGAGCTTTGAGGGCTAAAAGGGCAGAATGATCGGTGGATATGTTTAGTCTTTCCCTCATAGCTGAGCAAGCACTAGTAACTAGACAATGCACCAGCAGCACAAGTGCAGGAGGGTAGCTGCAAGTAAATCTATTCATCATCTTCATATCCGTATGTGCCAGACAATGTGCAACGATGAAAAAATGAAGATATCAGTCCATGAGCACAACCTACGTGCATGTTAATGTCATTACGTATATGTAGGGGGAATCTCAAGGAACTCAGAACTGGATTTGTCAAATGTGAATAATTCAAAACTCTGGATGAAGACAGTGGCGAATCCAATGCCCGGAGGTTAAGGGGATAATCATTTTAATTGCTGCATGTCAATATGGCAACAAGACAAATTTTAACTGTCCCTCAAAAGTTTTTCATATTCTCTTGATTCCCATTGTATTTTTTAAAATATTTTTAACTAGATAGGTATAAAAGTATTGGATCCCCTGTTTTTGGAGTGTTTTCCAAAAATTAGTTTTTCAAATATAGTAAAAAATTTTAAAAAATACTCTAAAAGGTAATCTAAAAATTAGTTTAAATTTTTTTAAAAATTTTAAAAAATATCTCAAAATATATTCTAGAAACTCTTCTACTCTTAAATATCCCAAAATATTTTCTAAAAATATTTCAAAATATACTCTAAAAACTCTGCTACAGCAAAATTTTTCAAAAAACACTCTCAAAAACAGCTAATCCAAACGGACCTCTTATATTTCGGTTGGGGAAAAAGTAAAGAATGAAATATATTTGAGAAAAAGTACTAGATGACCGATATAAAAGTTAATGGGAGTTATATAATATTCAAGGAATGCAAATATAAGATGAATTAATGAAATTTAGTATATTTAGTAGCCACATTCTCAATTTTTAAAAATTGAGGGTGCAATTGCCCTCAACCAATGGTGGCTCCGCCCTGAAGACTAAAGAGATTGCTTTTGGGTAATTATCAGTCAAAGAAGTTTGAACATTAAAATAATATCCTCGTCTCCTTAGTGGAATGGGGGCACCCAGGTTCATTTTTCAATCAAGTCACGAGGGATGCCAGTGCCAGCAGCCGGACTTGATTGTGATGGCGAGCCCTCAAGAGAAAGTCTCCCAAATTTTCCACTGGGGCCATTTTTTCAATTTTTTTCTCTAGCCCGTGAATTGTCAACTATACAAGCCCAGCCAGTGCTTTCATGACAAATGGGACCTCATGACTAAAGAGCCGCCCTTATGTTGGACACCAAACCATGACCCCAATTTATCTAACATGGTGTATTACCCCAACCGCATTGCGAGGCCCAAAAATGAGTCAACAAGACCTCTGCAATTATCATTGGCATTATCAATTACACAATACAATTATGATTTATGAACTAATACAATAACATTAATACGACAACATGTAATGATAAAGCACAACTTTACAAAACAGTGCAATGTTACCTTTGCATGGATTCTATGCCGCTCTTGCCCTTCTAAGGTTGTGTTTGGATTACATTTTTCATGAAAAAATTACTGTAGCGATTTGATGTATGTGAAGGAAAAAGATAATAGGGAAATGTGATTACAGAAAACGACGTAATTTTTTGACGAAAAACAGCAATCCAAACAAAGTCTAGAGGTCGCCTATTGCAGCAATCTCCGAGTATCAAGGGCCTCACAAATTTGAGGTCAAACCAATTTGTCACAATAAATAAGTGGCATGATATAAATGAAATGAATCTAGACACAATGTAAATAAATAGGTTGTAATGTAATATATATATATATATATATATATATATATATATATATATAATGACTATTCTACCTCAACTAATTTGAGCTCAAACATGTGATCCAATCTCTGAAGAGCACTTGGCCTTTTCTCCTAATTCGAGATGATTGATGCATCACACGTTATGTATAATTCGAGATTCAGCACATTAGTAGCGAAACTTGAATGCATAAAAGTGACGTAATCTTATTAATTAAGTCAATTTGTGTTGGCATAGTGCTCTTTCTCTGCCCAACAATTTATTTGCCCTAGTAGGATAAACATAAACTCTCAAGGCCCTATTAACATGCTATAAAAGGTTCAAGGCATTCGTACCAAAATAAAAAAGGGTACAAAGCACGCCTTCATGAGCCATTGTGTACTACATTCCTACATCATAGGAAGACGTGACTTATAAAGCAGTCTTAGATCCACGTTTTGAAATGCTCCTAAGTTAGAACAACGGGTTTTCTTGAATCCTAAACATCGCGTAAACGTAACACGCCAAAATCAATGCAAATTCCTAATTTCTCAGCTTTATTAAAACTTTCTCTGCGTATCAAACTGCTGAAGCAAATTCATGGCTCAATTCTAGTGAATGGTCTTGATCATCTTGAACCCATATTAATTCGGCAAATAATCGTTTCTTCAGGCAGTTTTCATCAAACCCATGTTACCCAATACGTTAAAACAATCCTAAATCATACCCAACATCGAGATGTTTCCCCATTGGGTTATGCTATTAGGTTTCTATGTCAGCATGGCCAGTTCCAGGACGCTGTCATTTTCTACGTGCAGCTTCAGAGGTCTGGGGTGTTTCCCAACACATATGCTTTATCATCTATACCAAAGGCCTATGGTAAAATCAATTGTAAAAATGGGGGGATTTCAGTTCATTGTCAAGTTCATAAGTATGGCTTTGCCAGTATTGTTTATGTACAAACAGCCCTTTTGGATTTTTACTCGAAAATGGGTGATATTAAGACAGCCCATAAGGTGTTTGACGAAATGAGTGATAGAAATATTGTTTCATGGAATGCTATAATATCTGGTTATGTGAAATTCGGAGAGTTAGAAATGGCTCAATCTGTGTTTGATAGAATGCCTGAGAGAGATATAGTATCGTGGAATGCAATTTTGTTGGGATATGCCAAGGCAGGGAAAATGGATCAGGCGTATGTTTTGTTTAAAGAGATGCCAGAGAGGGGCGCTTCATCTTGGAATGTGATGATTCGTGGGTACATAGATCGCGGGAACATAGAATTAGCACGTGGGTTCTTTGACGCAATGCCGAAAAGAAACAGCATTTCATATATCACTATGATATCTGCATATTCAAAATGTGGGGATGTTGAGTCTGCTGAAAAGATCTTTTATGAGGAGGAAAAGAAAGACCAGCTGTTGTATAATGCCATGGTAGCTTGTTATGCACAGAATGGCCGACCGAAAGAGGCTCTTCATCTATTTGATGAGATGCTTCAACCAATTCTGAATATTCAGCCTGATAAAATGACGTTGGCTAGTGCTATATCTGCTTGTTCTCAACTGGGAGATTCAAATATGGGGAGTCGAATTGAGTCATACATGGGTGAATTTGGAATCAGAATGGACAATTATCTCTCCACGGCCTTAATTGACATGCATGCAAAATGCGGAAGTATTGACAAAGCTATTGAGTTATTTCACAGGTTAGAAAAGAAGGACATAGTTGCTTACAGCGCAATAATTTTGGGTTGTGGAATTAATGGTAGGGGACAAGATGCGATTAAGTTATTTGAGGAGATGATAGGTTCTAACATCTCTCCTAACTCAGCTACAATCACGGGAATATTGTCTGCATACAATCATGCTGGTTTGGTCGAAGAAGGCTACGATTGCTTTGAGTTGATGCAGAAATATGGAATTATACCATGTGTTGACCATTATGCTATCATGGTTGATCTTTTAGGTAAGGCAGGTCGGCTGGAAGAAGCATATGAGTTGATAAAGAAAATGCCAATGCAGCCTCATTCCGGGGTTTGGGGAGCATTGCTTCTAGCATGTAGCGTGCACAACAATGTTGAACTTGGTGAGATTGCAGCTGCTAAGTGTTTCAAGTTGGAGCCTAATAGCACTGGATATTGTTCTCTTCTTTCTAAAATTTATGTGTCTTCTGGGAAGTGGGATGAAGCCAAGCGATTGAGAGAAGCCATTGAGGAAAGAGGTTTCAATAAGGTTCCTGGCTGTAGTTGGATCAAACCAGCTGAAGCCTAGGGGTCGGGAAGTTCTTAGTTAAGCCTGAATTTAATTTCTTGCAACTACTGAATCAACTTGCTGCAATTTGGCCCCCTGGCGACAGAGCTCAAATGTTGCATGACCTGTGTGGTTGCTGCTGCCCATGCCCTTGGGGAAATTCCTGGTGAACAAATATTTTGCTGATCTTATGGTTCTTCTGGCAATTGGTATGCATTTTCTAAGCTGATTTTATGGAGGTGCTCTCGATGAACTTATGTCTTGCTTCATGTAACAATTAACAACATATTGGCGCGGACAATATTGGCAAAAAAAAAAAAGATAATAAATAAATAAAACAAAATAAAAGTGAATGACCCCTTCATCTTATCTTGAACAATGGGCACAGACGCACAGTGCCATTGCCAGTGGCCAAAACCCTTCAGTAGCAGCTGAAACAACCTGTATCAGTTGAGTAATTTTGACTGATCTACAATCATTGCTGCAAGTCATCATATTGAAGATGCATTTGGTTGTTTGAAGTGGTGGGTTTAACTATTTAGACTGTTCCCAGAGATGGTCCATAGAGTTGCTGGATTCACTTTAACTTTTTTGTTTTGCAGTTGGAGGGTCATCGAACCTGAAGCTACTTAAGAATATAAAGATTTTCACCAGAGAAGCTGCAGCATCAAGTCTCATTATTGGCCCTTAAGCTTTGTGGTTTGATCAATACTTAGCTGATTAACAAGTGTGACTCTTTTAATCAGCACGAACCAGGAGAAATCAGATGCACTGAAGTTTCTATTCATGCATCATGTCTTGGAATATCAGGCGTTGACGATAAAAGTGAAAAATAGCAAATAACCTTGAGGCGTCCTTGGTTTTCCTGGAGAAATGACTTAGAAGTTAGGTCTTTGAGCCAAAGGAGATACCCTCTCCATGTATTCAACAAGTTTTGCTGTATTTAGACTATGGATCTCTGTAATCCAAGTAACCATTTCTATTTTGTCTTAGAAAACATATTGTAGTCTGCCGTAGAACGGAGATTGTAACAGAAGAAATTGTAGGCTCTTAAAGATGTGATAAAAATAAATTACGGGCAAGAACAGAGCAAGCAACACCGGCAAACGAGTTGACTTAGTTTGGCATTCATCTGCAGACCAAATACTACTATCAAACTGGCATGCCCAAGCCCATTTATCAGTGAGCTGCAGAGAAGTGAAAAGCTGCAGTAGAAGAGAACTTTACATGAGAAGAAAAGCTGCAGTTTTTACACGTCTTACATCACATGTATCTGACTGGAAAACAAAAATGTACATCAATGTTGCCGATGCAACTGGACAACCAATGGTGATGAATACAAAAAAGCATACGTATGGTATTCATGCTCTAGCATCGACCTGTACATCTGAAGGGGGTCGCCCCGCATAAGGGTTCGCCGTTCATGCAAATCATTAGAGGCTAGTTTCCATATCAAAGCACAAAGAATGAATTTGCATGGCGTGACCCAATCATGTCACCATTCTTCCATTGCATTCCCTATAACTGAACATCGTAGAAGAGGCAATACGGTCTATATCTCAGTAACCAAAGTACTTTGGTGCTAGAAAGAATAGAGGCTGCAACGTGCTTGGAGCAAATTTTCGAGCAAAAAGATAACAAATTGAAGTAGGCTGGTCGTTATATGGGCAGGTATGATTTTCAAGAATTCCCCTAATGAATGGTTCTGTAATATCTGCACTTCCAAAAGTAGCAGGATGAGCCCCTCCACGTGACCAGTCCACCCAAGTGATGCTTCTGTTTGCCAATTGGTTAGGAGCTTGAATTGTCAGCATGGTTGGGAAATAATGCTCATCCACATAGCATGGTGATCTACAAAACTCAGCAAACTTTGGGTAGAATTTTGTATCTGCAACTATGATAAGAGCAAGCTTTCTGTTGATTTGAAACCACTGTGCTCCTTTACGCCACTGGCTAATCTGAACCTCTGGTGCCATGTTCTCATTATAACGACCTCTACCAAATGGACCAGGATCATCAAATGCCCCAACAAAGCTATATTTTGACTTTGTTATGTAATGGTAGATGATACTGAAATTGTAGAGTGGAATGCAAGACTCGGATAGCAGAACAAACCACTCGTTGTTGAGATCAAGCAATGCATTAGCAAGAAGTCTTCTCTCAGCATCACAAATACTCATCCTCCCCCATTCTGCAACCTGAGCAGGACAGAAATATGACAGACTCAGCACCTCAGTGGAAAATAGAAAAAGGCTCATCCATATTCGTGCTGTACAAAGCTCATTTTGCCAAAACAAATCTATGACAAGGAGCTCAATCACAAGAAATGCCAATTAAACGCTAAGATAAATTAAGGCTGCATATTGCTAGAATAAATTAATCAAGAACCACAAGTTTAATATGCAATATTTCTTTTTTGTGCAAGACCAACCTATTATAGCCCAACTTTTAGCTGAATAAAACATGTAAATCAACACTTCTTAGAAAATTCTGGTAGCATTTGAAAGAAAATGTTTGAAGTTGAAAAGTAAATACAAAACCATACATATTGGTTGATATTGCCTATAGTCTACAGCTGTCACTAATAACCTGATACCATTTTGCTTCAGAAATCAAATGAATAAATGAAAACCAACCAGGAAAGTGACTAAAATCCCTTTCAAAGACTAATAAATGCACAGCATATTAAACTCTCAAAGTAAAAGCACAAGATAAAGTAACTCTATGCCTCCAATTTTCTAGAGCTGAGGGTTTACTATCTGCATTTTTATTTTACTAAATCACGATATTTCATGGAGGCTTTCACTAGGATTTATTTTTAATATACTTGACCTAAAAATAATCATATGTGCAAATAAAAATGAAAGAAATTAAAACGCCTGATTCATGTGCTACTTAATGATTAAAATAGCATCACATGCAACTAAGCAAGTACAACTCAAGTTTGAAAATCAACTAAGTACACAGAACTTGGAAGTACAAATAGAAAGCACCTCTGCAAATTGAAAAAACAATCTCAAAGACTCATTGAGTCAAACCAGACTCATGTTTCAAGCATCATCATTATACATGAAATAGCAATTTAGTTAGCAAACTTGAACATCAAGCTATATATAAAGTTAAACAACAAAAACAACTGTTAAAACAAAAAAAAAAATCTCTAAGCTCAGCTCATTGAAAAAGTAGCTTTTAAGCTGCAATATATGGCCTTCTCCTGACTCCCAGCACAGGGCCCTATACATATAATCTCTTTCAGCTTCAATTATTTCATTCTGGTAATCAAACTCAATGCACTAAGACAAAAGAGTAACTGAATGATAACCAGGAAGCAAACTCATACGAATAAAGTTTGTTAAAAGAGAGGAACCATCAGAATGTGAACAGCCACTTTATAGCTTAAAAATTTCCAATATGCAGAAAAGCTTATATATTTCCCAGAAAATTAGTGAAGTGCTAACTAGACATTCTAATAAACAAGATGATGACATCATCCTCTGCAAGCTCGAAGAACTTCCCTAGTGAGATCAGTCCCGTCTCTTTCAATTAGTGCTCACAATCACTGTTGACGAGCTAGACTCTTAAGATCCCAAAAGCAAAACCATTTCAAATGTATCCTTAACAAAATTAACAAGACTAACACAAGCAGATCCAATAAGCTTCCTGTTGATAACTTCAACGAAAACCTTCTTTTTACCACCAATAATTGAACTTAAAACTGTTTATGCAAGATCTTGCTCACACTACTTGAATAACAAAGTTAAACTTGCATATCTTCCTTAAAATAACAACATACAGAAAACTATGTTTCAATATGCAGATCGGACCCTCTATTTGACATAGCGAGCAATAAATATAAAGATGTCACTTGTCTACATCCTATCCATGCTTTCTGTTAGCGCAAACGCTTTCTGTCTCGTCCAGCACTCAAGGTTCCAGCCTTTGCACTTAGACACTGTAGTTGTTCACATGCATGTAAAGAATAATACTCAGTCAAGGTTATAATCATACAGAATAGCTGGCTTCCACATTTGCTTTTTGAGTACTGCATGGAAATATGCTTCATCTGCGCATGAGTATAAAGTTACAAAAGCCAAAAACTTCCTAGAAAAGGAAGCTTACAATGTTCAAAGGGGATATTTTCTTAGTTCCAATGAACTTGCTACACTATATGATGGGATTTACAAAGAGCAGCCAGCTGCACCTTCATGTACGTGCTATACAGACAGCTAAACACCTTTATAGGAGTTACATTCAATAATGCCATAGGGCAACAGAGACAACATGCTTGGCAGAGACAACATGCTTGGCTGGTTAAACTAGACATTGTATTTGTATTAATGGTTCTTTTACTAGTTGACAGGAATGGTTTCATAAAGCAAAAGCACAAAAGCCAAGGGGAAGGGATAATTCCAGAATCTTAAAAGCTTCCTTGCATAACATCAAATTTCATATCTTGCCTTGCCAGGCCTTCCAAGAAATAAACACAAATGACAACCACTCGATAAAATACTCAAGTCAGTGCATTTAAGAGGTTATAGAAAAATTGAAGCAAAATACAAAGCACAGGGTTTGCAAGACAATCAAATTGCGCAGTTTCAAATTTAAGCTACTTAAAATGCCCAAGGGACATATACTTGGAGAAATTGAGATCGACATGTCATGTTGTATAAACACATAACTTTAGGGTTCTGCACGAACCATACATTTGGTGAAGGCAAATATTGAACTATCCAAGCATTCAAACTAATGGAAGTGAAAAGTAAACTATCAAATCCATCCATCACTGAATTGTAAAATGAGGACAACAACTTTTCAATGTTGAATTTAACATCTTAAGATAAGTAAAAGCTATTGTACACAACAAACAGTTTCAGAACTCTGACCATGACCTACAGGTAAGAAGATTTCAAAGCATTGCTAAAGGACTAAATATTATTCACATGGAAGGAAAAAAGAAAGAACTACATTGTTTAATTTCCAGCAAGGAGAAAAGAATGCACAATTTATGCCCAAGCTATCTGCATATGAAGGATGAAAGCTACGATAAGTTTGGACTAAATTACTCTCCAAAAACTTGAGCTGTTTTGGGCACCAAAGACCATCAATCATATGTATAAAAAACAACTTATAAAGATTCTTAACTACGTATAGCAACTACCTGGAAATGATTCAATGGTGACAACTGACAAAAGCATACCTGACTTGGAACTTGCCTCCCGTAAAAAACAGATGTGGGTGGGAAATCTGCTTGATATGATGGCAACGAGTGAATATATATCGAATACAACCCAGAATGTCCCTTAAAAAACCTCTCCCAAAGAGGAGCTAAAGGCAATGGCCCCTTAGTCAAAAACATGAAAGCAATCTTCGGAACCCTATTGAACGGATACTTCTTGATTTGAGGCACCAATGATGCCCTCCAAAACAACTCTTCATCACTCATTGAGTGAAGCAATTTTGAGGGAGGCTTTATCCAACGTTCTAAACTAATTGGTTCCTTCTCAAAACAAGGTTGAAAACTGGGCTTTGCTGCAGCAAGCACATTATCAGCGCCATAATGCCTAATCATATAAACACTAACCACAGAAAAGATAAAGCACAACCCCAAAAACACCACAAGTAACTGAAGCATTCTATGAGGTAAAGCCCTATTTTGACCTGTCCTATTTACAACTGCAAAATCTTTACCATTCTCCATTGATACAACTGTTGATTGCATCTTGACACAAGTATAACAAAATTCACCTAATAGTTTCCTAAGATATCGAATCAAAAATCCACATACAACCGTTATCTCCCTTCAAACATCTGAAACCTTCAATTAAAAAATTACTCCTTTTGTCACACGGCCTAGAATCAGAGACTCGGATTGCATCCCATATGACATATAATCAACTAATTTTAAACTTCGCCTTCCTGTGATCGCTTAAGTTACCGTAATCCTAAATACAACCAAGACTGAAGCTTTTGGGTAGTTTGAATACAGGAGTAGAAAAAAGGGGAAAAGGCAGATAGCAGAGCAAAGCACCGTAAACCAACCAAAAGAACATTCAAGAAACTGACAAAAATGAAAAATTTCACCAATTGGAGAGAATTCACCAAGTGGGCAGGAGGTTAAAATGAAAAAAACAAATTTATTTGATACAGTATCACATGGTTTCGTGAACATAATGGATATTCCATGAGTAATTACGAGATTAAAAGTACTGCTCTGTAGCTGTCTTACTGTAGCAGTTAGCCAAAAAAATGGGCCAGACGCATACCATATGGGGAAAAAGGAGGAGGACGATAAAATTTGTTGTTTGGGGAATGCTTTAATTTGTTGTCACGGGCTTTAATGCTCCAGATATTGGTGATGGGAGAGTTAGG